CAAACCCCTTGGCAAGCATTCTAGGATAAATTAATTATCCCTTAACAACGGTATTAAATGGGAGCTTTCCCCATCAATAACCAATAAAACCTAAATCACCAAACCCCGCGTCTGGCTAGGATAAATTATCAGTAATTTAACGACAGGAAAAGCCAACTAATGGAACCTCCGGAAGTCACCATCAGCGTTGACACCATTTAACAACAAGGCTATATAATAAATAAAAACCGGATAACCCATTTAATCATAACGAATCATTTTCGATGGTGATGGTAATGATAGTGGTGGTATATAATGATGGTGGTGGTGCATAATGTCCAATGTTACATATAACCCATTTGTCAAGACCACAATGAACACCGTGAAACATATCCCGCTGTATAATCGACCTTAGAAGGAATGAACCTTCGCCGTTGTCAACCAATAAAACGTGGTGGAAGATCTCGCCAAACCCCTTGGCAAGCATTCTAGGATAAATTAATTATCCCTTAACAACGGTATTAAATGGGAGCTTTCCCCATCAACAACCAATAAAACCTAAATCACCAAACCATGCGTCTGGCTAAGATAAATTAACAACGGGAAAAGCCAACCAATGGAACCTCCGGAAGTCACCATCAGCGTTGACACCAGTTAACAAGACTGACAATAACGAATTATTCTCAGAAATTGTTGTGCGTGACATATCCCAACTTCGCGTTGTTTTTAAAAATTCATTATTCACCCGATTTGATCATGATAAAAACAGCCAATAATAATCCATAAAGTTTTGATCATCATTTCTTAATAAAGCGTATTTCATCATGTGATCCGAGTGGCTATGTACACGTCGGAATCGGGAATATCGATTCTCCGAGGAGAAATGATAATCATACATACATCAAACAAAGACACTAGCTCCGCTATAAAAGCATTGCAAAATCTTTATCTAACTTTCAAATATCGTTAAAAATGGTCGAATGAACAGATGCTCAAATCCGTATCAGTCACACGATTTATCACACGTAAAAATTAAACATATTCAAATAAAAATATTTAATTTTAAAAATACTAATTTAAGTTATATTAAATATTATATTATTACTGAATTTTTAAAGATTATATAATAAAATTTAATCAATTAAAAATAATATACATAATATTTTAATATTAAAAATTTCATTATTGTTATTAAAATTAATATAGAAAAATTTAATTACAAAAAATTTATAATAAACTAAATAAAAAATAATATAATACTATAAATTATATTAAAAATTATTTGAAAATATATTTGTTTTAATAATTATATATTTAAAATTAATTTCTTTATAATTCAAAATATTTAATATAACTAAAATTAATATACTATATTAAGAATAATTTTTATTAACTTATAAAAAATTAATTTAAAAAATTGATTAATCATACATGTGAATTTTTTGTTCAAAGTCTTAGCCAAAACGCACAAAGTTCTCTAAAACAAAATTATTGTTGAGATTTCTATGAACAGAGCAGTGCAAAGATCACGAAAAACTAATATCTCACTGTAAAGTGAAACGTCTTTGAAATTAGCGTTCATTTTGCCTATTTTTGCTAGATTATTCTTCAGTTCACAAATTCTTGCAAAGTTTTACCTCAAGGGATTAGTACATTACAAACATGTGGAAGAAAATTAGGAAAAGCTATTTTATGGTATAGTATAGATAACAATATTTCTTTTAATTAACAAAAAATTTTTTTTATGATTATTAGAATGTATCTATTCAGTCAAACACAAGTCAAAATGTATGCAAGGTTTAAAATTCCTTATCCGTTTAGGCAAATGCTAATTGTCATTTTTAGCTGGTACTTCAAGATTTAACTGAATAAAAAAAAGGTAATATAGAAGTTATAATGATAATTTGCTTTGGATTGTATAGATTCTAACACAATATTCATTCTGAAATATATTTATACATATCTTTTTTGATCTCTTATATCAATTATATCATCGATCTTGAACTCGCTTTGGTATCCAATAATCAGTATATTGCGACAACTTTTTCACCAGCTCATTGACAACTTCTTTGGGTAATATAGTGAAGTCTTTGTATGTTTCAAGCTATTTCAGGTATTGTTCTTCAACTGTTGTGGATTTGTATTTTGTTGGATGTGATGTTTGAAGTGTGAATCTGGAAGACAGACTGATTCCAAATAATGGTATTGATTACAAGTCTTCTTTATTGATTTTTCAACTTCCATATTAATTAATTCTGGATTGATTTCTTCAACTTCTATAATAATTAGTTCTGAAACTTGCACAGAACTGCTGTCTCCTGCTTCTACTCTTATTTCTGATATGTGATTAGTCTTCTTCTTCTTTGTTAGCTTCATAAACGTCAGATTCTGTCTACCTCATCCTGCTTTCACTTCGGGAACAGTATGATAAATATCTTGCTCAACAATAGTGATCATTCTTTCGATTCCTGATTCATAGCAAGTAAACATTTGTTGAAAATCAACATCTATGTAAGAATACTTTCTTTACGTGAAAAATAATAAGATAAATTTATTAATTGCTATAAATAAATTATATCAATTGAGACAGTTCTCAGTTTTAATTTTAATAAAGCTTATTTCTTTATTTATTAAATAGTGAAAAAGATCTAAAGAACTATAGTACAGAACAGAGATATTTAAATACATAATTAATGTTAAACGAATTACAAATAATTTAATAATAAAATAGAAATTAATTGGTTCTAAATTATTAATTTTAAAGGTGACGCGTCTCCAAATTATGCTGTACTTAATGAATATGTATGAAATATAAATAATAATAAAAGATAATTA